GGCAGAGGGAGAAGCAGGCTCCCCACGGAGCAGGGAGCCCGATGCGGGGCTCGATCCCAGGACCCCAGGACCACGACCTGAGCCGAAGGCAGACGCTTAACTGACTGAGCCACCCAGGTGCCCTCAAAGTCCAAATTCCTAAAGGAAATAACTATGGTTCCAATTTTAGTATATGTGCTGCCGAAGTGAGCACCCTAAAGGAAATAACTATGGAATTGCCATCACAAAAATATTTTTGTGGAAAATTTTTTTCCTTGTCAATTAAACAAAGTAACCCATCTTGGTAGACCAACACCTAATTCGGAATCAAATTAAGAAACACACAATAGGGGTGCCTGGGTGGCTCAGTCATTTGAGCGACCGACTCCTGATTTTGGCTGGGGTGGTGATCTCGGGGTTGTGGGATGGAGTCCCGAGCCCCATGCGGAGTTGGCTTGGGATTCTCTCCTTCTGCCCCTCCCCCCACTTGCGAGTGCACCCACACGCACTCTCTAATAAATAAAATCTTTAAAAAGATAAAATAAATAAAAGAGGACGCCTGGGTGGCTCAGTCGGTTGAGCGTCTGCCTTCGGCTCAGGTCATGATCCCAGGGTTCTGAGATCGCATCCCATACTGGGCTCCCTGCTCAGTGGGGAGCCTGCTTCTCCCTCTGCCTGCCGCTCCCCCTGCTTGTGCACTCTCTCTCTCTCTGACAAATAAATAAATAAATAAAATCTTTTTAAAAATTTTCAAATTTAAAAAATTAAAAAAAAAAGAAATACCCAATAATATCTCAATTATTTTTTCAGTAAGGTATCAAGACAGAGAGTAAGAACTACTAATATTAAATAGACTTTCAAATTCACTTTGTATTCTTTACCCACATTGAAATCCAATGCAATAAACCGACCAGACTTCTCCCTGGGGAAAACCATTTCCCAAACTACATATATATCCTTCAAGGAGAATTTTCCCACATTATCTCCCTTGTCAAGTCATGTTCTTGCATTTATTTTAATAATTTCACTCCTTCTGTAGAGTGGTCCTAGAAAATTCTTAAACTGGGAGAAAAGTATTTCACAATTGAAAATTAAGGGCACACTATATTTTTCACAGTTTATATCAATGATTAGACTTTGTTTTGTGCAATGAATAGAAAATATTTCACTGAGCATGACCTGCAACTTCATGATCTGTATCACTATTCTCCTAAGTGTGAAAATAAACATATTTCCAAGTCAAACCTAAAAAGGCATATAACCAAATAGAAGCTTTCCTTATTACTAGATAATACTGTCAGCTTAGATGTCATTTCTTCTAGAAAGGACTTTTCCTGGTCTCCCAAAACTAACTTAGATACCTTTTCTGTAAGGTAAAAGAGTAAAGTAAAGGGCCTTTTATCTTTATCTTTCCGTAAGTAAAGCAGCCACAGAGCCTTCTTCTTCCATAGTAGTTGTCCTATATTATAACTGCTCGTTAGTTTTCTGGCTTTCCCACTAAACTGTAAGCTCCATGAAAGTAGGGACTGTGTCCTCTAACCTCCTGTATTATCACCATGCTTGACACAACTGATGAGTTTAATAAGGGTTTTTTTTTTTTTTCAAGAATATATGAATGAAAAGCCTAAGAGATATGTGCAGAAGAATTTTTTCTAGAGCTCATCTTTTTTTTAGGCCTTGAGTTTTGTTGTTGTTGTTGTTGTTTTTAACTACTTAGGGTGTATGAGAAAGTAAAAGAAAATTGTTCACTTTAAATAAGTTACATAATTTTCATTCTCAGCCTCCCTTCTTCAGAGACCGCCCAACCTTGCTCCAGAAACCTGTCTCACTCCAGAAATTTCCCTTGTGATTCTAAGGCACAAAGCAGCTTCTTTTCAAGATATTTGGGGCTGTTGTTGTTTTTTCATCAATTCAATACACTTTTGAGCACCTATGCTAGCATAAAACTGCTGCTGTAAAAGCTATAAGAAACACAAAGATGATTAAGATCTGCCTACTGCCTCCTAGGAAATTCAGATTATTGAAAGACAAAAAAACATAGTAAAATAAAAGTACAAGGCATTACAGGAATATAACACAGGAGTTATAATTTCAACAGTAGAAATTTAGTAAGGTTTATTGGAGGAGGTGGGAACGGGGCATAACCTTGAAAGAAAGTACTGTAGTGAACTTCAAACAGGTGTCTATATGTGGCAATATTATCTCACCCACTTTCAAAAGATGTCATCAAGATAGGTCAAGGATCAAGTGCCACAGTAGAAGAGGCTGAAGAACTTGGGAGCTGATTTTTCCCAGGACCTGTTAGTCAGCCTTAATAGCAGCAGAAAATTAGAAATCCCGAATTTTAACAAAGTCTCTTAAGAGTGACACAACACTGGGTGATCACAATCGGCCGAAACTACCCCTACGCCGGAGCGTCTTCCCGTCGAGAAACAGGTAAGACAAAAATATACCTCCTCCGTCAGGATCTCTTTTCACAAGTCATCCCTCCACTGCCAACGGATGAAAAAGCAATTCAGAGGGGTCAAGAGTGCATGGGAGGTCGCAAGGGTCCCCTGGGTTCTAAGAAGAAATCCGGTACTGACAGCAGAGCTCAGACAGGACTTGGGGTCGCGGGGATCTAGGAGCTCACCTGTTCGTCCTCCTGCATGGAGGCGGCCAGCGGGAGCCCGTCCGCCACACGGGCGATCATCGTAAGCAACACCATCTTCACAAGCTACAGGGACCCAACACTGGCCGGGATGGCCGAAGACGTCCTCCTGACTTCCTCTGCCGCGACAACAGTTACACCTCTTAGTTCCCGAAGAGCCAGCTGCTCGCGTCTGCGCTTCCCGCTGAGGTGGCCGGAAACTAGCTTTGGAGCCTTCCACTACCGGTCCTCAGAATTAGCTTCCCACCGAGAACCACAACTACTAGAACAATAGTTCCGCGGTCTCTCCTTCCACCTTCGGAAACTTCCAAGGTCCCGCCCACTTTTCTGGATTGGGAGCTTCGAATAAACCTTCAGCCTTGAGGGGTGTGGCATTCAAACTGAAAACAGGATTTTCTAGTTCCCAATACTGTAAATGTGAGGAGAGGGCTGGGAGGGGTGGTGGGAATTAATGGATACATAGATGGAAAGTATGTGAAAAAACTGAAAAATCAAGCTATATATTTTCATATTTTTCTATTTTATATATTATATATTTTATACATAATACTTTCTATATTCATATATTTCTAGGCAGGGATTTTTGTCTGCTTGAGATTTTTTTGGTTTGGTTGGTTTTTGCTTGTTTGTTTATGCTGTATCCCCAGATCCTTGAACAGTTTCCAGTAAAAAACAAGTATCTATTGTATGTGTGAAAAAATGACCAAGTACAGACCTCAGAAACCACCATATCAGGTACCCTTCCAAAAGCTGGGATCTCTGCTACATCCCTTATCATAGGTAGCAGGGTAGCTTTGTTAGAACTTCCAGTAACTGGGCATTCACTCCCTATTGGAAAGACCTCGACATAATCCTACTTGAGGAAGTGTTACCATCTCTCTTTACTTTGATGTCCCTATTTCTAAAATGGGGATATTATCCACCTCTCAGGATTTTTGTGAATATTAGGTGAGAAAATGTAGGTGAACATGTTTTGTAAACCAAAAAAAAAAGAAGAAGTTATACAAGTGTTGTATTTATTATTACTTATATTAGTAACTACTCTTTATTAAGCATTTGATTGGCATTTGCATTAATAGAAATAGAAAGTGCTTTATGGATACTAGTTATTTAACCAAACAACCCAGTAAGGTTGCTTAATATTAGGTTCCCCTTTGCAGTTGGAGAAAAAGCCTCGAAGAGTAATTTTTCCAAGGTGACAGAGCTAATAAAGTTGGGAACAAGATTTGAGCTGAGGTTGAACTCCAAAGCCTCTGCTTTTAATTATGATGCAACTCTATCTTAATATTTATCTGTAGGTTAAAGAGCTCATGCTTTCATTACCTTTTCTACAGCTCCACAACTATTAGGAGAAAACTAGTATTATTTCTTGAGAGGCTTTTGGGAGGTATATCCAATAAGACCTATTGATTGACTTCACACAAAAGATGAAGGACTGGGATATAGATAAGACAAAGAAATCAATGTTACTATAAACGGAGACAGTGAGAAAGTGAAATGCAAGGCAATCCTTGTGTATATGGGAGCCTAAACTGGTAAAATCATAGTATCTTACATTTAGAATAGCCCATATATATAACTTAATCTAACTTCCCTTCCACTCAACAAGGACATGCCTTCTGCCATAATCTCAAAAGAAAGTAATTCAGCCTCTGCTGGAATAATTCCAGTAATGAGGAATTCATAAATCAAATATTTTAACAAAGGGTACAATGTGGAGGAGAAAAGCAGAAAGTGAAGAATATAGCAGGCATGCAGAGGGAAGCAGATTTGGAGCAAGAGTCCCAGCTTCTTTCTTGTTCCCGGCTTTAGGCTTTTCCCAAGGCCCATAACCATTCCTGCTCATGGAGTCTATAAGTCACCATTGTTTCTTTATACTAAATTCCCCGTCCTTTTTTATTGCTTAGTTTCTATTACTTATAACAAAAACAACACCAAAAAAATAATTAACTAATAGAGGAACACAGAATCATCCCGGGGCAACCTGTTCTTGAAACAACATTCATACTCACACCTTTTACTTTTTTCTTCTTAGACACACTAAAATTATAATTCCAGAGAGAGGACAGTGGTCTTCTTAGCTCACCGATGAGCTATCAGAAGGCCAGAGTTTGTCTCTGTATGAAACTGCCCAACACTTAGACCTCAGGAACTCTGGAATATGAGTGACTTTTGCTTCTAACTTGATCAGCATCATGTTATTTACACACAGGCATTACCTTTGAGCTCCTGCCCTTTGGTCCTTTGAGCAATACAGGACTGTGTAATAATGGTGAACACTGTGATCAGTACATGGAAGGTAGTCAACTCTTTCACAACGAATGGAAAAGGGGTATCAAGAAACATTGGTTTAGAACTTTAAAATTTATAAAGCTTATTCTTTGTCTGCCTGAAACCTGATGACACTGTGAAATGGTAAAAGTACAAGAATCTTGGAGCCTGTAAACATTGTACTAAAAGGAAAAAAGTAAACAGAAGCCTTGAATATCATAAGAGTTGCCAGCAAATTCTTAAAACTTATTGAAGAAACCAAGTAATGCAATATCTAAACTTAAATCAAGCTGCAGATACAGGATGAGATTTTCCCTAAAGGGTCAGAAGGTTGCAGAGATTTTACAAACGACATCAGAGGAAGCAATAGCTAGGGGCTTGAATCCATTTATTCTTAAACAATTATTGAGTGCCTAATTAGATGCCAGATACAAGTTAGGTAAAGAAGATGAGTAAAAAAATAAAAACAGTCTTAGCAACCTTTGCCCCGCGTCTACCCACAGACTATGGTGCTTAGAAGAGGTCTGCCAGTAAATACCAGCTCCTGTTTGAATTGAATGATTGCATAAATTAAAAAAGCATTTCTCAGGAGGTGAGGCTCTTGGCAGACAAAAGAATAGAAAGCCACTATATCTGGCCTGATATCCAGTCATATGCACTAGTACAGCCGAACTGGTGATTTTAAAAATTGAAATCCTGGGCGCCTAGGTGGCTCAGTCGTTAACCGTTAAGTCTGCCTTCCGCTCAGGTCATGATCCCAGGGTCCTGGGATCCAGCCGGGCATCGCGCTCCCTGCTCCACGGGAAGCCTGCTTCTCCCTCTCCCACTCCCCCTGCTTGTGTTCCTGCTCTCTCTGTGTCTGTCTCTGTCAAATAAATAAATAAAATCTTTAAAAAATAATAAAAATAAAAAATAAAAATAAAAATTGAAATGCCTTCCTACATATTAGTAAACAGCTGCTGCCCTGGGCTCCCGCCCTCATCTCCTACTCCGCAGCACCAGAGCTCTTATAGAGCTCCCTCGGCAGGTCATCCAGATTCGTTCCTGATTGGTCAGTTTCCATGCCAGTCAGTTCGAAAGCTCCGCCTCCCAGGTGGCCATTGGCTACCTCCAGGGAATCCAGAACGGTCCCGCCTTCCACCCTGGCCCGCACCCTGGCGCCCGCCCTTTGGATACGGCTCCCGGTGAGATCTCTGGCCGGCCTGGAAAGCGTTCCTGCCTGCGTCTGTGCGGGTGGTTATTTTGAGTTATCATCCCTGACTAAACCTTACAGTGCGAGCTTTGTGGAGGCAGGAATTTGTCTTTTTATCCTTGAATTCGTTCACAGACCTTATCTGTGTCATTCACGCAGACGGTCCAGACATTGAAAGTACAGATCTGGGGGGAGGAAGGTGGAGAAAAGAACAAAGTGTGCATTGTAAGTAATGTGAAGGCTTCTATTTAAATAAGATTACTTTAGATAGCCTGCTTCAAATATGAAAGCCCCTGCCTTCTAGAAGCTACCTCATGAAATGACTTCTTTCTTCACGTCTCTGTGGTTTCCCTACTTTGTCAGGAAAGCCAGGCCGACAGCAGGCCAAGGTGGTCCATCCCTTGGAGTTTGAGATTGGTGGGGTTGGGATGGGGGAGAGGGGGTGAGAGGGGAGGAGCGGAATGAGGATAGGGTAGTTTTGATAGCATCTAAAATATGTTATCCAATTTAAAAAAATTTTTAACAGATTTCTTCCTTCCCCTACCAACCTCTAAATCAAATCCTTTAAGGTCAGAAAAAGTAGTCATGTGTTATTCCCCAGAGTCTAGTATCCCATACCTGGAACCTAGCAAATGCTCGATTAATATTTATTGAATAAATGACCAAATGAATGGCATGCTCATAGACTGGGACAACACTGCATTGGTTATATATAGCACAATTCAGGGTTGGTACTCTCAAAGTGAAGACATATCTGTCAACCATTCCCTTCATTTATCCAGTTAGTTATTTAAAAATATTTATTGTTGGGGCACCTGGGTGGCTCAGTTGGTTAAGTGTCTGCCTTCGGCTCAGATCATGATCCCAGGGTCCTGGGATTGAGTCCCCCATTGGGCCCCTGCTCAGTGAGGAGCCTGCTTCTCCCTCTCCCTCTGCCCGTCTGCCTGCTTATACTCTTTTCTCTCTAATAAATAAATAAAATCATTTAAAAAATATTTATTGTTCAATCACTATGGGCTAGGAATAGCAGGTGCTGGTTTATACAAAAGCAAACAAAAGAAACATGAAGTTTGTTGGTAGAGGTTACATTCCACCTGGCTCAGTCTCTCTCCCATTACCCCCAACCCAGCTCTACCCCAATTTCTTCTCACCCCAGTCTAGAATGATAAAAGCCTTCGGTGGTGATTTTTTTTTTTTTAACCCTGAGTGTCCACCTAGATTGTCCCTCAGAACTGCAGCCCTCCTCCCCTTCTGTGGAGTCCAAGTGGATTGAGTTTTCTTAGCAGCCATTACAAGTTCCTGATTTTAGCTGCTGTTGTCTCAACCACTGCCACTGTTGCTTGGCTTCCCCCTCATATTCCTCCGGCTCCTTCTTTTCTGGACCCATCTTTTCTACTCACACTGGTGTTCCAGAAATTAGTGAATAACTTTCTCACTGAGTGATTTTTCTTTACAATCATAAGGGTCAGATATTTCAGTTATTACTTGTCTTTGTTATCCTTCCTTGTTTAAAAAAAAAAAAAGAAAGAAATTATTAGCCTGACTCATTCAGCCCTACCTCGTTTCAGTGCCTGAAAACTGAATCCACTGTGACATTCAGTGTAATGAAAGGGGGCACAATTTGCTGTTAATCCTTTCTTGTGATGAATTCCCTGTCTTCCAAAGACACAATTTTTGTTAATCAGTCCCTTGTGATTGTCCTTTCCCTGCTCCTTTCCCTGCTCCACCCTCTCATTCCATTACTATCTGATGTGGGACCTTTTCCTCCCCACTTTG